GGGGGACCGAAGATAGAGTGTGCTGTCATGAAGAGAAGGGGGGTGTTAAGTATAGCGCATGTATTACATGTGCAATACCTGACTGACTTTTCGGGTTCAGATATAGCGCGTGTAATATATGTGCTATACTTAGTGTTTCAAAATAATAAACATAGCGAATATATTACATGCGCTATATTTTAACGGTCCCATTAAGGTATAGCACAAGTATTATAAGTGCTATACATAGAATTATATTCAAAATATTTTTTCACTTATTTTTGTCTCTTGAGTCAACAAAGGCAACCTTTTGATTCCGTACAGAGCTGAAATACCTATGCTTTTCTAATGGAGTGAGGAAACCCCTTTCCAAAACATGAAAAGTGGAGGTAATGGTTCATGTCCTCCACCTATACATGCTTACATATTGGTCAGAGAAAAGCATCCTCTGGTAGGAATAAGTAAACTTCTATATCAATAACCATTTTGTCTTAGTGATAAGACATATTGGTTATTAATGTAGATGGTTGCCTAGCTAGCTTGTTCCCAACCCCAAAGGCTGCTTTTGTTTAGTAAAAACAATACCTTAGACTGAAATGTAATCACATGGTATGTCTACATGTAATTACAAGATTATCCTTAAAACGTTTAATAATTAAATCGACGTACGCTACGATCCTAAAAAACTCAGGCGTGTTAGGTTCATGTGCATTGCTACTTTTTCTGTTATGGAGAGACGGTACGATTAGAAGAGTATATAATATGATAGTGGCAGGCTGTTAAGCAACTCTCTTGTCTGTATCTTAGTTTATCCATGACCTCATCTCGCACGTACTCATAAACCACTTTTGAATTATAGGGTTTCATCAAAACAAGCGGAGTTTTCATTATAAATTTCTAACCAAGCAAGGACCGTCATCAGACACCATTGTGTGCAGCATCTCAAGCAGTAAGCACCCCTCTCATCATTTTCTGGTAATATGCAATTTTTCCATTTAACCAATAAACAATTAGAAATTTTGGTTCAGTTATCTCTCGTAAAGTTATGGCAAGAGGAAAGATCGCGATCAGAAGAATTGACAATCCGGCAAGCAGGCAGGTGACTTTCTCAAAACGGAAAAGCGGATTAATTAAGAAAGCCAAGGAACTAGCCATCCTTTGCGACGCTGAAGTTGGAGTAACCATCTTTTCCAGTACTGGTCGGCTCTATGAATACTCAAGCTCCAGGTTCTTATTCTTTCCTTCTTATTAGAGAAATTTACCATACAAAATATTTGCAGGAATGATTTGAATCTTAGTCTACTCTACTACGTCTAAATTAAGTTTTCTGTCGCGGAAATAAATAACATCTTCTTTAATTTTAGTGACAGCTGAGACATTATATGCTCAGTTAGAACACAAGTAATTATATATATACTAACAATTAGGAGAATTATATTTAACTCATTATCCTTGGAGCTAGGTGAAAATAATACCCGTCAATCATAATTAAGCAGCAGGTAACAAAACAAAGCTTTCTAATTGGTCCTTTGGCCTGCAGGGTAGTAGACGAATATAATGTTGTATGAATTAGGATGAGGGGTTTTTTACTTTTTACCATAGGGCTGATCACTTTTGTATCGGGGACATGCCTTGAGAAGATAAGATCTGCAAGCCTGCTAGAATAAGAAACAATATGAAAGTGTTGGAAAATTTGGGGAGACTTTATTAGAAGCGCACTGAATCTCTTGAAGACAAGTGAAGGAAAGTGTTTTTACTTATTTTCTCAACTTGGCTTTAAAAAAATGACCATTGGTACCTATTTACTTATCAACACTGTTCTAACGTGCACCTTTTTTTCCAAACACATGTATAGAATCATGTATGCATTCTTACATTAATATTCGATCTAATACACGAACAAAGTAAATACATATACTAGAGATGAATCGAGGTAGTCATAGCTTGGTGAAGATATACATAACTTGGCCTTATGAAAGCTTTGTTTCTGCTTCCTCTTCATAGATGACTTGCAATGTTCTTGGACTCTTGAACACTAGCGACAACAACATAAGTAAATCCTTGCATCGAAGAGTCGTAAAAGTTTTGCAATGAGCCCTTCATCCATCAATTCTTCATTGTATACCCACTCGTTGTTGTCATGTTTATCATTATTTTCTTTTTCTCTAGCTTCATGGAAAGAAGCCTTGTCATCCAATTTTGATGGATGAAAGTAAGGATATTTTTATTCTTCTTTTTACATGGAAAATTGTTACCTATCTACACAAGATTCCTCGTCGTACAGCTACTACATAATTAAGCAGTGCTGAAACCTTTATTTGGCTTCTTGCCATCAATATAATCCTTCAAAAGCAGTTAACTTTTAAATTCTTGATAGCACTACAGAAAATATGTTTCACATTCATTTCAATTTTAAGATTCATCTGTTTCAAATCTTCAAGAATTTCAGGTTTTCCATGGGGTTGGTCCCTCAAGACAATCTGCATTGAAACAAATGATAGAAATTCGAAGAGGAGAAGTATTCCTAATCGGTCGTTTTCTCTTGATGAAAAGTGGAGGAAATGATATTTATTTACTTCTCTCAACTTGGCTAGAACAAAATAAACATACTACCACGCATTTATAGGCATTCTTGTATCATGCACCTAATATACCTATATCATAATTTAATTCTTGACTTTTTAAATTCCAAAGTACATGTACAAAACCATGAATGTATCCTTCGGAAATTTATTTTCGAAGTAAATTCATATACTTGGGATAAATCTAATACATGAATTTACTTAGTTCATGAAATTATAAAATTAATGTAACATACATGCACATGTAAAAGGAAAAAAGTCTAGATAAAATAGGTGCACGCACTGGACTAGATACATGTTATGACATTCCTATAATTATGTACCTTTTAGCCATTTTATTTAAGGAAAGTTGAGGGAGGTAAGAAGAGTACATTCCTCCACTTGTCTTGAAGAGAAATAAACCATGATTGAGAATCCTCTTGTTTTCAAAAAATTTCAACATTTGGCATCAAAGTTAATTGTCTTGGAAAACCTGTGGACAAAGATTTGAAAATGAATGATCTTCAGATTGAAATGAATGTGAATGAGATTAGCTAGATGATGGGACGGGGAAGCACGAGGCTGAAGACATTATATTAGGTCGTAGAACTACTTGCGGGTCCAACTCCCCTCCATTTCTTAATCTCTCCATTTCTCCAAGTTTCAATTTGGATTGGAGAAATTTGTTTTGATTAAAAATCAATGGATAAGATTCAATTAAATAAAATAAAGTTCTACCCATAATTAAAACATTTAATTCTTTCTTTTATTTATTGTTAAATAATATTTTTGCAATCCCACAATTGTAGCTACACATTATCTAAGATTCCTTCTCTCTTTCTTGTACTAATTTTCTTTCTGTGAGTTAATTTTTTTTTTTTTCCAATTCTACAAACTCTTCCATTCTCATTAAAAAATAAGAAATATTAGAAGTAAGTTCTAACCTTTGATAGTAATAATAGAACGGAACAAATATTAGAAGTAAGTTCCAATCTTGCACCAATTTTAGTTCACGCTTACCAATCTGTACGTTAACTTCCGATGTTAACAAGCTACATGGGTTTCCTAAAATCTTCGTATAGTTTGATTGTGTTAAGGACATATTTAATTTGTCTCCTGAGAAAATTGGAAGCAACTATTTTCTTGGGTTGAGTATGATAATTCTACAATTCTCAGTTGTGAATGAAAATATTGATCAAAAGAAAAAAGAATATGATGCTTTCGGTTTACTTCTTTTGTAGAAGCACAACAACATACCCAGTATTATCTCACATCGTGGGGTCTGGGAGGGTTGTGTGTAAGAAGACCTTACCCCTACCTTATGAAGGTAGAGAGGTTGTTTCCAATATACCCTCGGATAAGGAAAACACAAGAACCACATTAATTAAAAGATAGACAATGAGAGACAACACCAAAAAACCATGTAAAAGCAACATATAAACAACACGGGTAATAAGATGATCATAATGAAAGAAATTGACGGGTGGTCATAGAAACCTACTACCAACAAAATGTGAGAGTGCGTACTAATACTACTTGTATGAACAGTCTACCACCTACCCTACCCTAATCATCGACCTCCACACCTTTCTATCAAGGGTCATGTCCTCGGTCAAAGATGCATCATGTCTTGCTTAATCACCTCTCCGCACTTCTTCTTCAGCCTACCTCTACCTCTCCAAAAGCCCTCCAATGTCTAACTCTTACACCTACTCATCGGGCATTTGTACTTCTCTTCCTCACATGTCCTAACCACCTAAGACTCGCTTCCTGCATCTTTTCCTCAACGGGGGCTACACCCACCTTGTCACAAATAACCTCATTCTTAATCCTATCTAACCTGGTGTGCCCGCACATCCCTTTCAACATTCTCATCTCTACTACCTTCATCTTTTGGACATGGGCGACCTTGACAGGCTAACACTCAGTCCATACAACATAGTCGGTTTGACTACCACTATGTAGAACTTACCTTTAAGTTTTTGTGGCACCTTCTTATCACACACAATACCAGAAGCAAGTCTCCATTTCATCCATCCTGCCCCAATACGATGTGTGACATCTCCATCAATCTCCCCACCCCCTGAATAATAGACCCAAGATACTTAAAACTTCCTCTCCTAGGAATGACTTGCGAGTCCAGCCTCACCTCCCCTTCCCCTCACTGAGTCTCACCACTGAACTTACACTCCAATATTCTGTCTTGGTCCTACTCAGCTTGAAACCTTTAGACTCCAGAGTCTGCCTCCACACCTCTAACCTCGCGTTCAAATCGCCTCGCATCTCTTCAATTAATACAATATTATCTGCAAATAACATGCATTACGACACCTCCCCTTAGATGTGGCACATCAGAACGTCCATTGTCACGGCAAACAAAAAAGGCTGAGTGCCGACCCCTGGTGCAACCCCATCATGACAAGAAAATAGTCCGAGTCCCATCTCATCATTCTTACTGTCGCGCCCCTTTTTCTCGCGAAATCGGGCTTCAACACGTGACAACTCTTTTAAGGAAGGTGTTAAAAGAGAGAGTCGCCACCTAACGGGTTTGAGGTGCGTTAGGGAACCTATTTGCAAATAACTCAGGTTTAACCAATTTGCCTCACCAAAGATCGGGTAAGGGCTCAAATTACCTCGACGAGAAGGTGTTAGGCATTCTTTGAGGTCCACAACTGTTGGTCCGGCCGAACTCGAATTATATAAATTGGTCAGACAAACAAAGACAAAGAAAGAAAGAAGTTTGGGAAGTTCATTATTAAACACAAATAATGGATTTAAAGACAAGATGATAGGGGTCCAAAATTTTTTAGTCTTAAGGATCACCCCGTGCAACATAAATAATACTTCGTAACTCCCTCAAGATCGAGTGTTACTCGTATTATTCAGCGGGCACAGACTATCATCTCCTAGTACCCAATTACTATCTTTAAGTTGTTACCTAAAGTACACTAGTTGATTCTAAACCGAGTCTTATGCGTGCACGACACGTTCCATGCCTATGGTCCAGGGGTTTTGGACCTCTATTTGGATGGTTCTAGACCTTATCTAGGCTGCTCAAAATTGTAAAAACTAGGCGACAAGCAAAACATATATAGACTTCACATAAAAGCAACTAAAGGCTTATATTGACCCACGCACTTAGACAACAAATGCACACAAACACATATGCAAATTAGGAGCTTTCAGAAATCGGAACCTTAAACCAATAGACATGATTCCTAGATGACTTTGAACCAAAGTACGGGCAGTTCCAGATGCAAGGTACCATTTCACACTTATAGACAACTAATAGTTTTAGGGGGCGTATTTGGTATTACAAGCTGATTATTGCAATTGTAGATTATAAGTGATTAAACCTATAGACATGATTGCTAGGTGATTCTAGATTCCAGTGTTATAAGTAACGTTGTAATTTCTGACGTATTAGAATGTTGCAGATCCTATAAACATGATGTCTAGTCATTTGTGTAAATGGGTAGTGAAGTCGTCAATAAACATCCTCTCGGCAGGTTTTCTAACGATTGACAATCGGGCTTGATTTTAAACGCTATATCCCTATAGGCGTGCTTTCTAGGTGGGCAGTACGATGCACTAGCGAATTTAAATAGTTAAAATCCTATAGGCATGATATCTATTGTACAATGTGAGCAAATGAAGTGATTAATC